ATTATAAGTATGCTAAACATATTTATCACACAAAACACTTGCTCTCAAAATAACCAAACTTAATTTCATATGTCACATTTTGTATAGGCATAATCTTTTATAATACCACTTTGTCAAACTATGATAAATTGGAACAAAGTAATATAACAAACTTGCTAATTCATATGACTAAACAATATTCAAAGTATTCATAAATTGTCTTAGGTAAAAGACTTTTGTCATCACAAAATGCAACATTTTAAAACAATTGGACAATAATCAACAAAATATTCAATACTTAACAATTATAGCCAAGAAAACACCTATGACTTAATTAAGTTCTAAATAACCTTTTATAATTTTTTAATTAGAGTTACTTAATCTTTATCACCAAATCAACTTTAATATTCAAGACAAAAGAATGTAACTTTTTACATATGAGCAACAATCTATATAAATAACACTAGCCTATGATGTGTTATTTGTAATTAAACTAGAAAATCTAAGTGCATCATTACAATCTTTCCTTTAGGTAGAGAATGTGACATGTGATTAAGCACTTTCCATATGAAGTTCATATGAAAATATTTTAGTTTTCAAAAAGCCTATCCTTTTTAGGTAAACAGACCTTGTAGACCAATATACTTTTAATCATGATGCTTCATATCCACTCCAAATTACCAAATACAATAACCCTCTTTGATTAGACAATTGTATAAGGTAATTTGAAAGTACTTTCACTCCTGTGCATTATAAAGTCTTACAAGTCTTAATGAGTGAGCCACTTTGACAGCCAAACACTCATATTAACCAATTATATATTCTCATACTAGAAAATTTGGATTGCCTATAATTTTAATATGTATACTTAACTAAGTTAAGGCAATTTGACCACTTCTCACGAGATATTTAATCATCATGTATCTCTTTAGGTCATTGAATATTTAAAAGCTTGATCATTCCTACGTGAGACACTAATAATTAATATGTATCTCAATAGATCATTATAAATATAATGTCTCATTGTGAGATACTTAAACCGAATGTATCTCACTAGATTAAAATTAATTTATTACATTTAAACCAAGTGTCTTGAATTTTTGGATAATTTAATATTTTCATTCAATGCTTTATTCTTATGTATCATATACCAAAAATAAAAATATCATAAATTAACAATGATACATAATGTCAACATAGTCGTAGAAAAATTAAATTAAAGTAACAATTTGAAACTCCAATTATTTCATTAAATAATAATTCAATATTATCTAATAATTAAATAAAATTATAAAATAAATTACTAATTTGATACTAGCTGTACCAAAACCTCAAAGAGTTCAAAACTAAGTTGCCTTTCAAAATAATGTATGTTGCATTTTAAATGGATAGCAAACAATTTAGTAAAAACAAATTTTATTAAATTTATTCAATCATGCATATAATTTCAAGTTGAGAGTACATAAATTTTAAATAACATATTATGAGAGTACGTACCTCCAATATATTCACAGCATGCCAAAATATTTTATTATAAAATAAAATAACAAAATTCATGTGCATAAAATATAATACTTGTTTAATAATGCATAAATATTATATAATAAATATTTTATGCCATTTAAAAATTTCGTAAAAATAATAAATAAATACGACATAAAATTTCAAAAATAACAGAGCAAATGGCATAAAAAATGAACTCTAAATGAGTCCAAATGAATCAATTTATTAATTCCGATAGTATTTATTGACTCAGTACTGTGCTGACTCAGAATTATTCATCAAGTCAGCATTGTTCAAACTCAATACTACTCATTGTCTCCTACCTCTATCTGGGTCAACCCAACCCAAATGGGTCAAATTTCACCCGTTTCGAACATATTTCAATTTAAAAGTTAATTTGATGCTTTTTTTTTTTTTGCAATTAAACCTTTAAACATGCAATTAACACATAAATTAACAAAAATCATACCACAATTTGCATAAAAAATTACTTAAATCACCATGAATTTGAGAACAAAATTTCATGTTCATAGCCATTTTTTATTTTTTTTGTTACTCTTTTTTTTTCATTTTTTCCTTTAGTTTTAATGCAATTAAATGCTTCAAACTTTAATTAACATATATATTTACAAAGCCCATACTTTAAATTGCATCAAAACAACATGAATCAACATAAATTTGAACCAAAATTTTTGGATAAAAAACTTATACATAATGCAACTCGATTTTCTTCAAATTTGAACATGTATATGAAATTTTATGAAATTAAACATCTTGTTTCATCTTTATAACACATGAGTAACAATATTCAAGAAGCAATTTGAATTAAAACCTATAAAGTATCAAGGTTGTAATTAAATCTTGAATCTAAATTTTTAAAACTCGATTTCTTTCTTTATAGGATGAATTAAAAAACATTTCATACATAATTTTAATCCTCTCGCAAAGGAGAATAAAAGCCCCAAATCAATTTTGAAAAAACAAGTTTAGAAAGTTGGATTGTAGCAATAATAAGATTTCTTCCAAAACTTAAGTTCATGCGAAATTAAAATTTAAAATCATAATTTTGGATCCTAATATCACATAATTAAGCTCTGATATCACATGTAAGCATAAACTTTAAATCCAAAAAATTATATGTGAATATTAGAACACCAAATTTCATTATATTGCATACCTGTTTGGGCACACATAATTGATAAATGGAAGCAACACTAATTCTTGAAAAGACTATGTCTTTCTCTTCACTCTTCTTTTACTGATGGCTCTTAATGAGTAAATACCATTAATTAAAAATAAAGAGGGGACATTAGCTAATTTATATTAAAAACCTAGAAGCCTCTTCATCAAAAGTTTACCAGACTCAAGACTTATACAACCGTCAAATCACACTGATCCAATAAAATATACAAAACTTACACTTAAATGATCACATTAAATTATTTAGACTTTCATGCTTATCTCATATTAAGACTAAATTTATCAACTTATTTTATTAAATATTAAAATCATCACTTAATAGTAACCCACTTACTAAAAAATTATAACATTGAGTATTATTTTTAATCTTATCAAGGTAAACGTGAAAAAATCTCACGTCTAAGAATTTTCTAAAGTAATCACTGCCCATTTTTCCAAGTTATCACAAGACAAGAGCGACGGGCAAGGTAATAGGGCCACGCGTAACAAGATTGAAGGGATTTCCTTATAATGGGAGAAATCAAGAGAGATGAATACTATAATTTTAGGGCAGATGATAGTACCAGTTATATGAATTTTTTTTTTTATTAAATGAAGTTTAATGTTATTAAAAAACTTTTTCTCATTTGATTTACAATATGATTCTAGTAATGGATAACTAAAAGCTAAACCGTGTATACATGTTAGACCTATCTATTTATATATGTATCTATATTAAATCATTTAATTTGTGACATCATACAGTGTAAAATATTATATTCATATCATATTTTATATAAAAATTACATATTATAATTCGTGTCGACACAAAAATATAAAATATAATTTTTTTATTTATTTAACTTATTTATAATTTTTTAAAAATTTTAAATCGCATTATTTTTGTATCTTTTATTTGTATCATTTTTATATCATATCACAATATCGTATTTTAAATTATCAAATCTACTCTATATCATAATTAATTTATGTCAAATACATATAAAACATTAAAATTACTATAATTAATTTATAACAAATACATATAAAATATTAAAATTATCATATAACAATTTACATCAATACGTCAAACACGAAATGTTTTTTATTTTTATTAAATCCATATATAACTTCTATTAAAATTTTGAACTATCATTTTCGTTTTTTTTATCATTTTTATGTGTAATTATATCATCTTTAAAATTATTATATCTAATAAACGAAGATCATAGTCGACTAAAGGTGAGAAAAAAAATTCTTAGTAATATATAAAATAAAATTACAATGCCCATCAACAAATTGACAACTCAGGAAAAGAAATAGAAGCGTGCAAGGCAGCCCTTCAACAGTTATGGTCAAGTTCCACTCAATGAAAGCATGAAAAATGGTAGTTTTAGAGTTAAATGCCACGTATGAGTATCATTAAGACTATGTTTGACATGGAAAAATAGTGACCTTTTAATGTTAGCCGAAAGATAAAACATTCAAGTGAAACAAATGATAAAGGCAGGACAAATGCTATAAAATTAAATTTGCAAATTTCTTCCTGTTTTCCCTGAATTTACCTTTTATATGTCAGCATGTAGCCAATAAGAAATATAATGATACAAAGTTAATTCAGTACTATTTATTTTCCTTTCTCATTTTTCTACTGTATTAGGCAAAAGAGTGTACCCTTGATCATGTATCGAGTAAGGAGAGATCTTTGTAAAGTACGGGGCTTAAACGAAACTATAGTCAAAGGAACAGAAAAGGTGTTAAAATTAAGTCTAAATGCTCAAAAAAAGGAAAAAAACAGTCGAAGGAAAGACAAAGTGAAACACGCTTATGCACAACAATGATTAGCAAAATATAAGAAAACTCAAGCATCAAACATAAATGCATAGCTCTATAAGAAAATGGTGAAATTTAAAAGCAAATCTTTAGCAAGAGTTACTATTTTGCAAGTTATATGCAATCGGAAGTGAAGATATTGCTTGAACTAATGCATTAAACATATTTACAGTGCAAAATAACTAGTCAGGATGATCCATTATCAATTAACAGGGATCACAATTAATGTCTTTACCAAAGGAAAGCTTCCAGTTAGCATGCCACGCCTGACAAAAAATGGAATGCTAGTGTGTTCACGCTTCATGATCTAATAATTTCAGAAGCAAGGTACAAGCATGCTGCTAGCAAATTTAACAAAAACCAAGAGGCTTCAGTCTTTGCACCACTTACAACGAAATCAGGGAATAAAAAGTTGTCTAACAGATATACATAAAATCAACATATCTCTTCCACAAATATGATGTCAAAGATGGATTGTACTGCAAAGGGAGTTTACAACAAGCAGAGATGTTAGAACCTAATATGCAGAAATACAATATGATCAAACTGCAAAAAAAAAAAAAAAGACAAGTAATAATAATACTTCTATAAACCATTGTTTTTTTTAGGAAACGATAAGAAGAAGATAGATAGATATATAAATAACAAGTTATGACTGCTCACATACAAATTCTATATAATTAATATCACCATGACGCAAAAGAATTCAAAAAAGGAAAAGAAATAGGTCAAACTTCTATATAGCGAACCAATCACAATCATTGCTAGTATAAAGCTAATAATCACATTTGTTGCAAATATAATTTGATAATTTGAAGCTACTTTAACACCATTCTGTATATACTTCCAAACAAGGCTAAACGGTAATTTTTTCAATTCAATAACATGAATGTATATATTAATATCCATTATCTACAATATCTATTGAAAGGACTAATGGCTGCTATTAATGATGAGTGGCTTCACCAGGATCAAGGTAATCAGGCTCAGCTTAACAATGCAAAGGAGATTTGGAACTCTATGAGGGCATGGCAAACCGAAAAAGTGATTCCTACCGTCCTTTCTAAATCAATAGCATATTCTTTGCAAGAAAATATACTTTGATCTAATTCTTGTTGAGCTGTCCAATATTCTTTGTTGTTTACTCTGTCTTTGTAAAGTGTACACAATTGAGATGGAATTGTGGAAATGCTTACTTTGTCCTGAATGTACCTTCCTTGTTTAGTATATTGGATTGGTCAACAAGGAAACTAAAGCTAAAAGCATACAAACTAAATCTGGGTAACTTTGTCTAGAATGTACCTTCCTCGTTTAGTATATTGGGTTGATCAACCAAAAGTTGCTGAAGTGCACCTAGATCACTGGAACTGCAACATCAAGAAAACACACGATTACAAAGCCATGTTTAATAGAATGTAGTAAAAGCAAACCCTTTCTTTTAGTAAGTTAAATAAGTTTATTTTAACAAACCAGGAAGCAAGTGAACAAGAATTCAAAAGTTCATGTGGAAAAAGGTGAATAAGCACAATTATTAGATAATATCAAAATAAGCCTATGAACTTTTAAAAAGAAATGGAAATAAGCTCTCGACGTTTTATCACATGAAATTAAGATTATGAATTTTTATTTCATTGTAATCGTACTCATTAAATTGAAAATTGGGTGAATAAAGTCCAATACCAACATTATTAAAACAGTATTCTCTTAAGTATTTGTCATCTGACTCATCCAAGTAAATTCATATAAGTATTTTTTTATAGATTACATCAGTCACCTAAGAAGGTTTTATTGAAATATGATATATTCGTAATGTCAAGGTTTTAATTGTAATAAAATAAAAACTGATAACCCTAATTCCATGAAATAAGGATCAAGAGCTTATTTTCAATTTTAAGTGAAGTTTGGGGACTTATTTGAGTATTATCCCATTCATTATGCTTTAAAAAGTAGGCAAGCTAAATAAATAGGCTTATTAGATAAAATAAAGTGTAAATGAACATAAATTCTACATATCATAATTATTCAAGCTAAAGCACAATAACGAGATAAGCTGAGAAGTAGTTTGGATTCAAAGGTCATTAGGCATATTCATAGTTTTCAAAAGCATCTCCTTTGGATAGATTTTTGAAGAAGGAAAAAGTCAGCACATGATCAAAATAAAACTTCGGGTAGGACTTAGAGCCATATAAACATCCTTCAAGGTAATTTAGGTAAAGGATTTTGTGTTTCACACAACTCTGTATCTTAGGATCCATTTCGAAAGATGGTTTTGGCCCCAATGAAATTGAAAACTTTGAAAGTCAGATTAGTAGTGTAGCGATGAAATTGGTTATAGTAGCAGAAGGATTAAAATTAGTGTCAAAATATGTGCTTGAATGCAAAAGTTGCAGTAGCAGTTAAATAAATTGTAGTAAGAAGAACAAATGACCATTAAAAACATTATATTAAAGTTTGTATATAATGTAATTTTTAGATTATTTGACATTTATAAGTTAATAAATAATTGAAATTACTAAATTAGTTTTGTCAAATAATAGTTTTGTTAATAAATAATTTAGAATTAATAAAATGGTAGAATATATCAAATAATTTTTTTTTAAATGATAATAATATATTAAAACTAAACAAAGTAGTTTTCAAGTATTTATTATCTTTTTTTGTATTTCTGTAATATTTTAATTTTATTTAACATTTTAAAATCTTAAAAATTTTATTCACTCAAAAATATTGACGCATATTATTTTATATTAAAATTGATCATATATTTAATGATAATTTATTCAATTATTTATTGACTTATTTATGTATTTATTTATATAATTATATATTTTTTTATATTTGAATTTATGTATTTATAAAGATATAACTATTTATTTATATATATTCAATTAGACATAAAGTTATTTATGTAATTAATTATGTTTAAATATATTTATTAATGTATCTATGTCCTTATTTAGTTGTTTACGATGTGATTATATAAATTTATTTATCATTTTAAATAAATAATTAACTAAAAATCTTTAAACAAAATATATGAAAAAATAACCAAAAAAAAAAAAAAGAAATCAAGAAGAGGTAAAAAGGGAAAGGGGGCTGCGGTTGGGAGCACCATTTTCTACTAGACCCTTAAGGGTCCAGTCATTGATCGAGGGTGCAAGACAGTAGGTCATTCCCACCGTGCTACACCCTTGTCACCCAAATGCTTTAGCATCGTGTGATTGCACCAAAAAGGTGCCTAAGCCTAATCGCACCATAGTAGGGCTGCAGCTGAATTCCTATGGACTCTTGGAAAGATAAAAAAGACAAGGTGAGTTTCATTGACATTTTTGAATTGCATGATATGAGTTATACTTACTTGGGTTTCAAGGCAAGTGTTGAAAGTGCTGAAACCAATGATGATTTAAGAAAGTATCTAACAAACACAAAATAATCAGTCATTTAGAATCTAAACTAATTGATTTTAACCAAATGCTAATCAAATTGCTTTTAAGCAAATGCTAATCAAAGCAAGTTCTTCAAACCTCATATAGTGAAAAGTGCAATCATGAAAACTCTACCAAAGCATAAATACTCCACAAATTCTTACGTGTAACATGTCATAAAAAAAATAAAACACAAAGCACTAAAAAAAGCCATTCTTAGAAAATTTTTGAAAGATGAAACTGTTCATTACTCGGCAAGGAACATTTCATGGAGAAGCACAAGCCCATCTATGCAATTTGTAAGAGACGGTTTTATGCCAATTCTATGTTGCAGTTGCTTCCTGTTCATCTTATTAGAACTACCTTTTGCAAGCTGTTTACCATCATGTTGAAGTTTCTCCAGGGAAAGAACAATAGAGCGAAAGTCATCCCTGAAAATCTTTTTAGAATTAAAGTTAAAACATAAATACATAAAAACTATCTCTAGTTCATAATTTACCAAAGGTTTTAGCATTGTTTTCAATTAAGACATTGTTTGGTTGATGATTTTTCTCCTGGCATTTACTTCCCCAAAGTTGTTAAAATGCAAAATCATACTTACATAATTAAAAGTAGTAAATGATTAATGTGCAACATAGTTTTTGCATATAAAATTAAAGGCAAAAGTTTACAAAATTTTCCCTTTTTGAAAATTTAATTAATCAAAACTATCATTTATTTTTTCAAAAATCAAATAGCAAAAGCCACAACCAAACATAAACTAAATTGATTAGAGATAAACCCTTACATAGTATTTTTCATTGAAAGTAAAATGGTTTGCAAAGTATCCATCTGCTTTCGCAACACTGCAACTTCAATGCCCCCAACAGAATTTAAACTCGCATAATTTTTTGGATTTTGAATAATCTGATCACAAAAAAAAAAAAAAAAAAAACCTGTTATTAAAGAGATTAAAATTAAAAAAAAAAAATGAAGAGAAGTTGTGACATGGGGGAAATTTAAGTTATACCTCTAATCTGGCAATGATGGAAGTAGCATTTCTAAACTGAGAGATTAAGCGAGATTGAAGCTCGTCCCATTTACTCATTTCATCTTTTGCTTTTCTGAATTTCTGCTGATATTTCTTTATTATTGCCTCCATCAATAATCAATGAAAAATGATTGATACTGGGGGGTGGCGGAGGATGGGCGTGAGGGAGGGTTGCAAGAAATTGGTTGTAAGCTATTAACAAAGAAAAGAAAAGGAGAGAAGTAGGAGCTGACCTGGGTATCTCCAGACAAACGGGGTTTTCCAAAGCTTCAAATCAGAGAAAAAGAGAGAAGCAGAGAGGCAAGGATGCTAACGCAAATGCTTACCCTGGGCAAAATTATGTGGTTTTCAGTTCGGCAAAGGATTTGGAAAGAAAAAGAAGCCACAAAAATTAAAATTATTTGGTCCGGGGCATCCGCTTGGGCTTAGGCTGGGTCTAGTTCATTTTTAACATAGTGTGAGTTGCTTTGAAGCCCAAGCCTATACAACGTACTTGCAAAAGTTTTTTGCAAGAAATAAAAGTTTTACCATCAATCCATCCATACAATAAACGTGTTGGGGGGGTGATTGCCGTGGCATTCATTCACTTTCAAAATAAAAATTAAAAAAAAAAAAGAAAATTTATTTGTATGTAATTTTGTCTACACTTAGTACAACTATAGTGAATTATAATTGATTTGAGTTAAATAATAATAATAGTATTTAATTTGATAGTCAAGAGAATTATTGTACAATGCGACACAAGCATCTTTGTCTGGAGACTAAAAAGAATTGTTAATTAATTCAACAAGATAATGATAAGCATTTACAGTTCTTGGAAGTTTTGAAAAAATGATAGCATCTCCACTAAAGTAATATAAAAAAGACTGAAAGTATTCAATTATATGAAAAATATAAAATCTTTAACTTAATATTTTTTTTCAAGTATATAAAAGACCATATGTGCTATTTTTCAAAATTACAAAGTAAAAATTTTTATGATTATAAATATAATTACTATATTTTATAGTAAGTGGGGAGAAATTTAAAAAAAAAATTCATGACTCTGATAATCACAATAATCGTGATAGTTTTTGTTTGTCCGCAGCTGCAATGAATACAAATGCGATCGGCTGCAATTTAAATGCATTCATTTGATAACATAGTGGAACAAGTTAGCTTGAAGAGCTCGGCAGGTCCAGGATTGATGTTGTTGTTAACTGCTCTGGAGTTTCAGAGATCTATTCATAAACCAGGTATTGGTCCTACTATGTTTAAAATAATTTTGGATATGCATGCAGTAATTCGTGCATAGGGATCACATTTTTCTAACCCAGAGAGAATTATTTTTCCGAGTGAAAGCTTTAGGCTCAGGGAACTACTATTGCTGCTGAACTGACAAATTTAAACCAGTGGCATTTCAGTTATTTTGGCATCTTGGCATTGAAGCTTCATTTCTGTACTCATCATTTGCCGAGTCTTTTCTTTTTTTTTTGGTTGACTGATGAACCTGCTTGATCGAGCTGTGAAGATGGTAGCTGAATTAGATGAACCGGTGGAGCAGAACTATGTAAGGAAGAATGCATCAGAGCAAGCCAAACAAAGCCTTGGGGATTTAGGCTAGAGAAGCTGCAACAAGGGTCTTCTCCAACGCCTCGGGATCCTACTCCTCCATTGTCCACCTTGCTGTTGATAACTCCTCATGGAATGATAAGAAACAGCTGCAAGATATGTACTTGAGCCGGAAATCATTTGCTTTTGACTGTGATGCCCCTGGTGCAGGCATGACTGAGAGAAAAGGAAAGTCTTTGAGATGGCTTTAAGCATAGCAGATGCCACATTCCAAAATCTTGATTCATCAGAAATTTCACTCACGGATGTCAGTCACTACATGGATTCTGATCCAACAAATCTTGTACAAAACCTATGGAAGGATAGAAAGAAGCCCAGTGCATACATCGCAGGCACTACCACAGAGAACGCCCAGGTGTGCGCCATGACATTTTCTTCAGAATGTTAGACAACATATAGGATTCTATCTGAGACTTGCCACTTTTCAAGCTGATTCTACAACTCTAATCACCATGAATACATGTCTCAAGAATCCTAATTTTCTCTAATTTGCAGGTTCGTACTCCTGTTGAAACTGTGCGACTAGATGCGTGAACCAAGTTGTTGAACCCCAAGTGGTATGAAGGAATGATGTCCAGTGGCTATGCCTATGAAGGAGTTCGTGAAATTGAGAAGCGCCTTACTAATATTGTAGGGTGGAGTGCAACTTCTGGACAAGTAGATAACTGGGTGTATGAAGAGGCTAATTCAACTTTCATTCAAGATGAGAACAAGTTGAATAGGCTCATGAACACAATCCAAACTCATTCAGGAAAGTTGGTGCAAACATTCCTGGAGGCCAATGGACGTGGTTACTGGGAAACTCAGTGGAGAATATCGAGAGGTTGAGGCAGTTGTATTCAGAAGTCGAAGACAAGATTGAAGGCATTGATCGATGAACTATAAATAAATAGGTTCTAAAATTGCAAATATTTGTTCACACTGATGATTTACTCGAGCCCTTCACTCCTGGATGAGCTGACAGTCAAGAACTTATGGAATGTAAATTTGTTCATAAAAACTTTGCTTTGTGATATTGTCAATTTCACCGAGTCATCCTCCATTTGCTGTTAAAAAATTACCTTTCGTAGAATTCAACTTGTCTTTAGACATTGCTTTTCCCTTTCAATTCATGCTATCCTTTTCTCATTTTATTAGAACTAAAGTAAAATACCAAAGCACCACAAAAGATTATCAGAACTACCATACCATTTATTTCAGAGTCTACTGGAGAGAGGTTGATGAGTGCACATCACTGTAGACTTGATCCATCAAGATTGGCAATGAACATTTGGCACAAGATGAACGCATTTTCTCTTTGGAGGGGATCTCCAATCAGTAAATGAATGATACAAAGGTAAATCTACGAGAAGTTACAAAAAGAACACCCCTTCCCCCCGAAAAAATTAAGGAAAAAAAATAAAAAACAGTATTTGTTATTACAGTTACAAAAGTTGTACACGTTTCTTTCCTTCTCTCTACTGCAGTTCTTTTGTGCATCCAACGAATCTGGCACCTTCAAACTAACTCCATTAGAAGAGGATCACCTTCACTCATTATTCTGATTAGTTTTATGAATTCCTGTTCACTTGACACCTTCCATGGATGCACCGCAGGTGCTTGTGCAGAATAATGTGTTGAAGAAGAATTAGTAGAAGGTAGGTCCTGCTTATACACCATTGTACTAACCACTGAATCAAAATTCTGAGGCAAATCCATAGACAAAAAGAACATGGGTATGGCAACTTTTTGATGGACTTCTATATGGCCAACCAGATTAACAAGATCAACAAAATCCGAAACAAAGCGCCGAGGAATGTAGAATATCTCAGAACTGCAAATCGTGAGGCTCTTGTCACTCCTCACAGCTTCTTTATAATTCACTTGGAAGTGAACTGGCATTGTACTAACAACTTCCTTTACCATATCCGCTTGCTTTGAATACCAATCTGAATTTCCACTGGTTGATGCAGTAGTCCAAGACATGGATACCTAAATCCCATCAAATGAAGAAGAAAAATAAGAGCAGTGACTTAGTATTTACTCATAATAAACAATTGCCAAGTTTTAGGAACAAAATGCAACAAATTTTCTGAGATTATACATTTATAATGTTATTATATGCATAAACATTTATAAAAATTCAAATTGTTTCCTTCAAATAAATGGCAAAAGATAATATATTGAAAAAACATATAAACAAATGATTAATCATTACAATCATTATAAATGGTTAAAAAAGACATAAAAGCCAAAGTCCCATAAATGGATGATAATCATTAATGACAACTAGTTTTTAACTATTTGAAATAACATATCAAGAATCAGAGAAACAAATGCTAAGATAGAAGGCAAAGCTTAGGTACCTTATCTGCAATCCATAGTTTACTCTTGTCTGCTTGTAGTAGATTCCAGTAATTAATAATGGTATCATCTTCAAGGAATAAAAAGCCGTCTGCACTAGAAAATCGATCAAATATCTTGGGGAGTTGCCTATAAAATATGTTAAGATATAATTAGTAAAAATTAATGATAATCTGTACGAGTAAAATTCTCATTTAACATGACTACAGGATGACTCAGTATTAGCAAAACAGGCATGAACTTAAATAACAGCTATAGTTTCCATGATTATCAACCATAAATTGACCATTTAAAAACAATTTGATGCCTTTAGGAAGACTTAATTCAGAAGAATAGAACACAACAACTTAATTGACTTATCACCAAACCTAACCTACAAGTTGATAATGTAGGACAAGAAAAAGACAATTATGGTTGTATTTATAATAGTAAAACTCCATTTGCAGTATAAGATAACTTCTTCAAGGAGATTGTTAATTGTTTACATAACTAATTCATTCAGAAAATAACATATATGGGTAAGAGCTTTTTCCTCTTAGGCTTTGTTTGGTAGGGAGGATGAAAACAATGATGAGAAAAATTCTTAATCCAATGGTTATGCTATAAAATAAGGAAGTAGTTACGAATCTTAGGCCTTTTATTGAAAATGAGAAGTTTTCCACTTAATCCTTCCAACTAGGCAAAGCTTCACTGAAGGGAGAAGAGGCCTAGGTATGATATAGCAAGGAAAAGCAGAATAGTACTTCGAATGGAACAGAGATGTGGCTTGACAAGAAAGGAATGGATTGTCGAGGATGATGGACAAAATCAGAAAAGAGGGCCATTTTTGGACTTTAGAATGTCTGATGATACTGTCTGGAATCAGAAAGAATAGTTATGAGGTAGCAAATCCCAGTTTTAAATACTATTCTCTATCTACTTTATGCAAGGACTCTTTAAAGTACAACTTCCATTCCCTAAGGCTAAAAAAGATGCCTAAAGGAAAAGCATTCAGGTAAACCAGAATATCGCTTTATCCTCCCAAAAAAAAAAAAATCAAAAGAGAAGAAAGTAAAACAAATTCAAAAATCAAAATTCTAAGAAAGATGCACCATAGACATAAATTGATAAATTAAAAGTATTACGTCAAGGGTAAGAAATCATTCTTCTGGCAACTTACTTGTAAATTTGATCTAACTGACCTTGTTCAACAGCATGATCAGAATTCTTCTGTGCAGACAAAATAACCACAGTTTTAAATATCCGCCCATAAAGCAATCTCCACTCCAAGGCAGTACGCTCCACAGGACCATTGCAGAACATGATAAGCACGACATTTCCAAAATTCTTCCTCCAACGAATCAAATTACCAATCTCAGAACTAACCGTTCCTGTTTCCTCCACCGCGAGATGAATAGATGGCAATTTCTGAGGGATAAAGTCTTTTCGATCCCCATGACTAATAATTGCCCTTGGTCGGTCCAGTTCCAATGACATCAACCTTGGCTGCTG